AATGAATTAATTAAATTTACTAATAATCAAATAAGTAGTTAATAAATTAAAGATATCTGCAAAGTTTAAGATAATGTTCACATATTATTAAATTTAATTAATTCTTGAGGGAGAGCTTTGCCGCCCTTGTGGTCTTACCCGGCTCGATTTCGGATTAGTCGGTTCCCCTGTGAACGGAAATCAGAAGATCCCTGTACCAAAAAAAAAATTGAAAGAAAAGAAAAAGTAAAAAAATAATACTATTATAATAAAGAGAACGGTTAAGAACGGGCACTACGCATACATATTGATATATCCTATTCCTATGCACCGCTTCTTTTTAAACATCAAAAAAGAACAAAAATAAAATAAAATTATATATCCAAAAAACGGACAATTTCAGTTCCCTCCATTCCATTCCCTTAACCGTTAACTTCACGCCATGACGCCGCCATCAGCCCCACCGGAGCCACCGCAAACAGCGGCCCAAGCGGTCGGTGTTCCTGCGAATCACCAGATCCCACCTCCTAGACCGGCATTGAACTTGGGCCCTCGTTTTCCTATCCCGTGGTCAACAGGACTCTGTGATTGCTGCGATAATTTCAGCATTTGTAAGCCCATACTATTTATTAATGGGTTTGTACATGGCCCAACATCACAATAAGACATTAATCTTTCGTTGGGCCCAGGTTGCTTAACATGTTGGTGCCCCTGCATAACATTTGGACGCATTGCAGAAATTGTGGACAGAGGATCTACGTGTAAGCCACGTCAGACACGATTTTCGTAATTTTTTTTAATTATTTTTTTATTTGGTGGTACGTATATGATGTTGAATTGTTGTTACTGATGAGAGCAGCGTGTGGAGTAAGCGGGGCGTTGTACTCCATGATACTGTGCGTGAGTGGCTGCTCGTGCTTGTACTCTTGCTTTTATCGGTCAAAGTTAAGGGGACAGTACTTGTTGGAGGAGAGGCCGTGCACCGATTGTTGTGTACATTTGTGCTGCGAGAGTTGTGCCCTCTGCCAAGAGTACAGGCAGCTTCAAAACCAAGGCCTTGATTTGTCCATAGGTATCGTTTCATTTCATTTCATTTCAATTTTAGTACAGTCATTCCGAGGGGCCGGATTAACGTGGACTAGGATTAAAACGACGTGGATGGATAAGACTTTGACATGGAAGGATTACAATTTTCCACGTCATCACGTAATCCAGCCCATCGGGATTACTGTACTAAAATTGACGAAAATTGTAACATACTGGACTATTTTTTTATTAGGAGAATGTTGGTGTACCGAAACTGGACAATGACCAACTTAGATGACCAAAATTAGATTTTTGCCGTATATTATGTTATAACTTATAATTTAAGGTAATAATAATATTTCAATATTTTGTGCATCACATAGTTTCCTTTTTTTTTTATTTAT